TTATATTTTTTATAGCAACAGTTAAAACTGTTAAATCGATATAGCTTGAATAAATAAAGTTTGAATTAATTATAAGTAAGGACTGTTTACAAGAAAAACGTTTTTACTGATGTTATTTTTATTTTCATCAAGATTTCTCATCACTCGACTGAAATTCCCTGAAATGTTTTGGTTTTTATACTACTATGGTTTTACATAATATTATTTATTTATTTTATTGGTCAAAACTGAAAGCCATAACATGATATTTAAATGAAGAGAAACAAAAAATGACAAAAAATAAAATTTGTTAAAATTTTTTCTTTCTTGTTTCTGTTCTTACAACATATTCAATAATTTATTAGCATAATTTATATTTAAAAACACACGTGCTCTATAGAATAGGTAATTAAATTCAATAACAATTGATTTTAACGTAACACGTCGAATACAGTTTATTCTAAATACTAAATCTGGTCGTTACATGCAACAAACATAAACACGTCACGAATAAGTCAAGAGACAAATCTAATTTTATATTCTGCATTACTGCATTATATCTTCATCAGGGGGAATTACATATGTAGAAGACGCTAAAAGTTAAAGTGCATAAGCAGAGTATCAAGGTATGAAATTAAGTTCTATGTTTATATAGCATTCTTTTATTTGTGCAAAAAATATTTTATACATAATTATATACGTACTTACTCGGGCAAGATGGTTATACTTTTCTTTGCATAACACTACCTCTCGCAAATTTATATTTTACAAATTATGACTCGGCACATAATATAACTTGGACGTTGGGTGCGTTAAAGGTGGACAAGGTTTTCATTTATATTCATCTTCTGGAGAAAATTATCCAAATACCGGTACGCGAATTACTATCTATCCGAGCATATGGGGAAGATGAATCAAAGAAAAACTCAATGAAAAAAATAATTATACATTGCCAATTATGTAAACTATATTAGGTTACAAATATGTAGCTTATTTATATCAAAAACATATCCAAGTTAATTAAAAAGTTATTGTACAACTCGGAAGACTCATCTGGATCAGTTGTAACTATTGGGCTGTCGTCACTAGGCTGAATTTCAGACAGAAGTTTGAAAACTTCATATAGGTCTCATGCATCCATCTTTCCAAATCTTATACATTTTATTCAGTCGCAAGACTTGCCACGTTTAGCGTAGTAGTAGCTGCAAAAAAGGCTGTTATATCTTTGCTACTCGACTATTTTTGAGAAATTCGTTTCTTCGTTCGCTTCCGAGTTTTATTGGGTTGGTTTTTTTTTTTGTAAATACCTTTAAAACCAATTATTGTGTTGTGTTTGTCATTATGTTTTCTGATAAAAACTCTGTAATTTTTTGATAACTTTTATAAGTTTAAGCAATGTACTTATTTGCATAAACAGATTAACCCAAACTTATCTTCATTTGAAGCATCAAAAACTTACACAAAAAATAATTTTTGTTCGAGTCTATTCTTTAATCCTTCTTATAGTGCAACTCAGAAGTAAGAGTAAAAACTGGCTTATATAACTTAATCTTTAGACAATCAGCAAGGATAAAATATTAAAAATTACGGAAGTTAAAATTTATCAAACGTTGACCTTTTATTGTAGGATTTGACGTTTTAAACAATAATAAAATTTATCACAATATGTCGGCGTTTTATAAATTGTAACTTCCGTTATTTTTTTAATATTTTATCCTTGCTGATTGTATAAAGATTAAGTTTTATCTTCAAGCCAGTTTTTACTTTTACTTCTGAGTTGCACTATAAAAAAATTAAAGAATAGACTCGAACGAAAATTATTTTTATATAAGTCTTTTCATGTTTCTTTTGAAAGTTTTTTTTCTTCATTCAAACTTATCAGACATTTTTTACATTTATTTGTTCGTTGAAAAGTTCTACCATTCAAACCAATACTTTTTAGGCTGTAATTTGAAAAGAATGTAGACCTATAGATTCCCACTGTCATCTGTCCGTTTGTCTTTCCTTAATCTCGAGAAGAGATGTGAAAGTTATGTTATTTCAATCCAAAAAATTTCCCTGTTAGGTGTTAGATAGATGACCTGCACGACTGTATTGTTAAAAGAAATGTATGATGTACAGAGGCAAGCCACTACAGGTATGGAATGATATATTCCTATATAACTAATACAGTAGAGGGTCAATTATCCGAAAGAATTCCAGTCGGCAAATTTAAATTTTCGCCAGTGCTGTGGCGCTGCAATCTTTGGCTATGTCTTGGGCAACTCAAATATTTTACGGTTTTGATACTAATTTAACTTCTGAAGTATAATTTTTTATTGTTTTTATATTTTTTAATATATTTATTTTGTTTGTACAAAATAAAAAAATAATTTTTAACAATACAATAGTCTTCGTTAGACTTAACATCGACGAAAATTCAACACGAAGCGACACGCAA